CTGCTGACCCCTGTGGTTGAGTTAGAGGAAAGCTAGAAGTTGAGGAGGAGGATGGCCCTATAGGAGGACCAGTGCCTCAACTAACTTGGACTTGACCCCTGAGATCTCTCAAATACTGGATTACCAACCAGGCAGCATACACCAGCTGATATGAGTCCCCCAACACATATACAGCAGAGGACTCCAGGGCCTGGGTTCAGTCAGAGAAGATGCACCAAACCCTCAAAGGACTGGAGGCCCCAGGAAGTGGAGAGGTCTGGTGGGCTGGTGGATAGGGGGTGGGAACATTCTCATGTAGATGGGGGGGGGCACAGAGGTATAGGATGTGGAACAATCAGAGGGTAGACCGGGAGGGGGAAAAACTCTAGAGTGCAAGTAAAAGATTAATTAAAAAAAAAAAAACTTTGGAATTTTATGAAGTCCCATTTGTCAATTCTTGATCTTAGAGCATATGCCATTGGTGTTCTGTTCAGGAACTTTTCCCCTGTGCCCAAGTATTCGAGGGTCTTCCCCACCTTCTCTTCTATTAGTTTCAGTGTATCTGGTTTTATGTGGAGGTCCTTTATCCACTTAGACTTGAGCTTTGTACAAGGAGATAAGAATGGATCAATTTTCATTCTTCTACATGTTGTCCTCCAGTTGAACCAGCACCATTTGTTGAAAATGCTGTCCTTTTTCCACTGGACAGTTTTAGCTCCTTTGTCAAAGATCAAGTGACCATAGGTGTGTGGGTTCATTTCTGGGTCTTCAATTCTATTCCATTGATCTTCCTGCCTGTCTCTGTACCAATACCAGGTAGTTTTTATCACTATTGCTCTGTAGTACAGCTTGAGGTCAGGGATGGTAATTCCTCCAGAAGTTCTTTTATTGTTGAGAATAGTTTTCGCTATCCTGGGTTTTTTGTTATTCCATATGAATTTGAGAATTTCCTTTTCTAACTCTGTGAAGAATTGAGTTGGGATTTTAATGGGGATTGAATTGAATCTGTAGATTGCTTTTGGCAAGATGGCCATTTTTATTATATTAATCCTGCCAATCCATGAGCATGGGAGATCTTTCCACCTTCTGAGATTTTCTTTGATTTCTTTCTTCAGGGACTTGAAGTTCTTGTCGTACAGGTCTTTCACTTGCTTGGTTAGATTCACACCAAGGTATTTCATATTATTTGCAACTATTGTGAAGGGTGTCATTTCCCTAATTTCTTTTTCAGTCTGTTTATCAAGAACTCAAGAAAGTAGACTCCAGACAACCAAATTACCCTATTAAAAAATGGGGTATAGAGCTTAACAAAGAATTTTCAATGGAAGAAACTCAAATGGCCGTGAAGCACCTAAAGAAATGTTCAGTGTCCTTAGTCATCAGGGAAATGCAAATCAAAACAACTCTGAGATTCCATCTTACACCAGTCAGAATGGCTAAGATTAAGAACTCAGGTGATAGTAGATGCTGGCGAGGGTGTGGAGAAAGAGGAACACTCCTCCATTGTTGGTGGGACTGCAAGATGGTGCAACCACTTTGGAAATCAATCTGGCGGTTCCTCAGAAAATTGGACATAACATTACCTGAGGATCCAGCTATACCACTCCTAGGCATATACCCAGAAGATGCTCGAACATATAACAAGGACATATGCTCAACTATGTTCATAGCAGCCTTATTTATAATAGCCAGGAGCTGGAAAGAACCCAGATGTCCTTCAACTGAGGAATGGATTCAAAAAATGTGGTATATTTACACAATGGAGTATTACTCAGCTATTAAAATCAATGAATTCGAGAGGTTCCTAGGTAAATGGATGGAACTAGAAATTATCATCCTGAGTGAAGTAAGCCAATCACAAAAGAACACACATGGTATTCACTCACTGATTATTGGATATTAGCCCAGAACCTTGAAATGCCCAAGATGCAACTCACAGGCCACATGAAGCTCATAAAAAAGGAAGACCAAGTGGGGGTGATTCAGTTCTTCTTAGAAGGAGCAACAAAATACTCAAGGGAGCAAATATGGAGACAAAGTGAGGGACAGAAACTGAAGGAGGGGCCGTCTGAAGACCTTTCCACCTGAGTATCCATCCCATGTGCAGTCACCAAAGGTAGATGCTGATGTGGAAGTCAGGAAGTACATGCTGATAAGAGCCTGATATGGATGTCTCCTCAGAGGCCTTCAAGAGTCTGACATATTCAGAGGCAGATGCTCACAACTAGCCATTGAACTGATCATGAGGTTCTCAATGGAGGAGTTAGAGTGAGGACTGAAGGAGCTGAAAGTGTTTGTGGCCCCATGAGGAGAGCAACAATACCAACCAACCACAGCTCCCAGGGTCCTAACCACCAGCCTGGGAGCACTTATGGAGGGATCCAGGGCTTCAGCTGAATATGTAAGAGTGGAGGGCCCTGCCGGGCACAGGTGGAAGGAGAGATCCTTGACCTCATGAAGGCTGGACGCCCCAGGGGGTGGGAATTTTGAGGGTGGGGAAGTGGGAGTAGGGGGGGTAGATGGGGGTTACATCCACGGAGAAGAAGGAGGAGGGGTAAGGGGATGGGGGGTTCCCGGGTGGGTGGGGGATGGGGTAAGGGGATAACATATGAAATGTAAATAAAATATCCAATAAAAAAAAAAAGGAAAAAAGAAAAGGCTCAAGGCTGCAGCATTTCTTTGCGTCTTCTGTGGGTTTTACCATCATTCTACATCATACATCAATTCCATGAAGATTTACCTGATGGTCACAAGGATTTTAGGTGAAACGAACAAGTAGTCAGTGAATAGCTACTACGACGACTAAAAATACCCCAATCTATTATGATCCTGGACCTGCCATATTCTAGGTCACCACAATTTCAGAAGTTCTATCGGTCAGTGAGCCTTTTAAGAGTCTTTTGGTGGTAGTGCACGCATTTAATCCCAGCACTCAGGAGGCAGAGGTAGGCAAATCTCTGAATGTGAAGTCAGCCTGCTTTACAGGGTAAAGCCAGGACAACACAGAAAAAAAAAAAACAGTCTCAAGAAAACATCATCGTCATCGTTGTCATCGTCATCATTGTAGTGGTAGTGGTGGTGGTTATAGTAATCTCTGACATAGATGTGGCTTCTTCTGGACACTTCAGTTCATAGCCACATAACAAATTCTAAGTTAGGCCGGCCTGCCTAACTTAGACTCTAGTTCAAAATAAAGTAACTGTTAAAGCACCTGCTTAGTTCGCATAAATCCTTACCTTTAATTCCTCTACTGGAAGAGAAAAGGATTTTTAAACAATATGTATAAAGATTATGAAATGATATGAAAAACACTCACATCATTAATTGAAACACAGATCATTTTTATGATTCCAATTTTACAATTACAACAATACAAAAATCATTTTACAAGAAATATATGTAAAGACTACACAAAAAGATACCAGCATATAGTAAGGTGCTTATTGGTGATTTCTTTGGTTATTCTTAAAGTTTTGTAAATGCTCTATAATGCTGGTAACATCAACTTTCATATACAAATTAATTTTTAAGTAGCTAATCTATGCATGTAATCATACCTTTCATTCACAGTGTTATTAAAGCCTTGTTCATTTGTATCATACAGTTCAGAATTAAACTTTCACAGTCACCTCTGGCAAGCAGGGATCCTGGGTTGAAAGTGTTAAAAAAGAGACGACATCAAGTGGTATCCCTTCTTTATCAGCATCATCATATCTTTCTTAAGTTTCTCTTCCTATTAAATTATCTTTGTGGAAAGAAAACCTTTACCGTGAGAGTGTCTCTCAAGACCACAGCACAATGCCTAAGTGACTATAAATGGTCCCTGGCCACAAAAGGAAACAGCTTGACTGTTCTTTGATGATCAAGAGATTGCCCTGGATTAGCTACATTAATAAGAACCCAGGAGTGCAGAGCAAACTACTGGGCTAATTTGCTGAGATCAAAATTATACTACCAAATTTTCAAAGATAAAGGGAAATACAGAGAACTTGCTAAGATTTATACAACCGCATAAACAGTGAAAAGCGTAATTCAAATCAGGTTCATAGTGATCCTAAATCCAAATCTACTACTCGGAATTTATATGGGGAGCAGAGGGAGACAAATTAGCTGATTTTCCTTACACATTTTCTTTTCACTAAATAAAGAGTTTCACTTTCAAAAGTCAACGTGGCTCCAGCTTTTGGATGTACAGCTCAGTGGATCCTGGACTTTTTTGTGGTTTGCAAATTGGTAGGGTCTGTGAGGAAGAGGTTGTTGGCTGTGACGAGTTGGGACAAGCTCCCTGAACTCTCCTAAGAAACCACACCAGTAGTAACCCCATCCTCCATGAGTCCATCATCAGATACAGGTGAAGCTGAGGCTGACACAGTCTCGCTGCATTTCACCTTCTCTGATGAATTAGTTGACCAGGTCATGACTGAGATGATCCATCTGTTGAATCAGGTGGTTACGTTGTAACCTGTCCTTAAATAAACTGCTATCTAGAGAATGTGCTTGAAATAATAAGCTTAATATTCATTTGTACACTCCTGTTTATGTAATTAGAAAAAAAGAATGAAATTTGATTTAAATGCAAGTGAAATATTCAAGTAAGAAAACACTGTGCATATGTGGGAGAGGAAGCCCTTGGTCCTGTGAAGGCTGTGGGGGAATTCGAGGGCAGGGAGGTGGGAGTGGGTGGGTAAATGGGGACACATCCTCATCAAAGCAGGAGGAGGGGGGATGGGGTAGGGGGTTTCTGGGTGGGGGAGGAAATGGGGAAAGGGGATAACATCTGAAATGTAAATAAAATATCCAATAAAAAAATAATTTCGAAAAAAGAAAGAAAGAAAACACTGTGCATTGCTCTTAGATCTGGCTTCTAACCAAACTGTAGCAAATAAGGTAATCGATTCCTATTTATGTTGTGGCACATATGTTGATTTATAATGCCTCTCAGAGGAACTCATAAGAGAGAAGAGTGTGAAATCTATGTGTTCCCTAACACCTTACTTAAAAGGATGCAGTTCCCTTTAAAGTCAATTATGGCACAATTGAATGCTTTGATAACCCGCTAGAACTAGCAGACACAGTGTTATTACTGAGCTAGAGGAAAGGAAAACCCCCGAGGGGCCTCTGGCCTCTGTCATTTCTCTACAGTCAGCCCCCTCATATCCCTCATAACAGTGACATAGAAAATTCTCTGCCATCACAGCTAGGTCGGCGTCTGACGCTCTTCCCTTCACTGTGAATTCTCCATCCTCAGAGGCCTCTATGTGGTAACTGGCAGGGTTCAAGTGGAGGTAATGAGCCGCATTCCATGTCTTCCGTACACACCTCCCATTATTCTTGCAAAGGTGACGACTGCACACCTCAGCCGCTCTGGTCACATTGATTATGTAGCTGCCAAAGTCAGAATTCACAAAGCGTTTCACCTTTGTACAGTTCTCCTGGAAAGGTTTAAAGAAAAAAAAATGGATCAGAGGTTATAGAGCCAGAGGCAACTATTCAGAATAAACCAGAAGGATGGTTTTTTCCTACCAAAAGTCAGAAAATTCTTGAATTCTACTATAACCCAAAGGACTCACATCAGAAACGAGAAAGGCTCTAGAGGCAGAAGGTGTTCTAGTTAGTCAAAGTAGCTGAACTAGCAAGCTAGCCTTAATCAGCATGTAGGTCCTTGCCTTTCTTCAAATCATACATTGTTTTCTTTCCCTCCTTCCTTCTTTCTTTCTGTCTCTTTCTTTCTTTCTTTCTGTCTCTCTTTCTTTCTTTCTTTCTTTCTTTCTTTCTTTCTTTCTTTCTTTCTTCCTTCCTTCCTTCCTCCCTCCCTCCCTCTCTCTCTCTCCCTCTCTCCCTCTCCCTCCCTCCCTCTGTCTCTCTTCCTCTCTCCCTCTCCCTCCCTCCCTCTGTCTCTCTTCCTCTCTCCCTCTCCCTCCCTCCCTCTCACCCTCCCC